GTTGGGGCGCCTGGGTGGCTCAGTCGGTTGAGCGTCTGACCTTGGCTCATGTCATGACCTCACAGTTCCCGAGTTCGAGCCCAGCATCTGGCTCTGTGCTGTCAGCTCAGACCCTGGAGCCTGCTTTGGATTCTGTCTCCATCTCTCTCTGCTCCTCTCCTGCTTACTCTCTCTTTCTCAAAAATAAATAAACATTAAAAAAATTTTAAAAAGACTACATGGTATGTTAACTAACTTGAACTTAAATAAAAAAATAAAAATAAATAAAAAGTTGAGAAGTTGGACAGGCAGAGTCTGGGAGCAGGAAGTTCACGATCTGGATTTGCTTAAATAAAGCTCAGCAAAAACTTGTCTTCCTTGCTCATCCTTACATTTTTGGTGCTTGGCAATGTGTAAAGGGAAGGAATTATGGAAGAAAGGAAGAAAAAACATGATTATATGTGCTCATGATTCTACTTTTTCACTAATTTCTTCCATACCCTCATGCCCTTCAGATTAGGATAGGATAGATTATGTTGAGGTGACAACCCCAATATGTCATTGGCTTTACACAATGGTGGGGGGTAAAGATGGAAAGTAAAGGTGGGAGCTGTTTGGAAGGCACAAAATGATAGCATTGGAGACTTTAGACTTGGAAGGCACTGCAGATGTCCTTAAGAGTGTAACCTCCCATTTTGAGAGTAAGCAAGTAAAATGACAATATGCTTGCACCTGGGCATAAAATTCCTTAGTGACCAACCAGAAATACATCCCAGGTCTCTTGACTCTTGTGTTACTGCTCTATTCACTAAAAATGGGAGAATTACATTTTAAAATATCAAGCTTAATAATGAAAGAATATGTGTGGTTTCTAACTCTTTTGAGGTTTTACTATTTCTAATTGGTTACTTTCCAATTTTAGCATATATAAATGTCAGTTACACTTTGGAACTAGTCTTCTCTTCAATTATGTAAACAAAAGCCCTTCTGACACTTTAAGGAAGTGTACTGCCACCACTGTCTAACAATTAAAACCCCAGATATGGGCTTTTTCCATAAAAGTGAAAGCATTAGTAGTAACAATGGAGGTACACACCATTGTCTGAATCCTTCCCAATCCCATTCACACCCAGTCATTATCTCATATGACCTATAAAGAGCCTTCTATGACCTTGGGCAAATCCTTTAGCTTTTCATATCTCATTGTCCTCACTCTGAATCACGTGTGTGACAGGTTAAAATTTTCGAAGTCGTAAATGATTTCCAATATCCCCGCTCTGCTTACTGGTGTCCTTCCCCATACAGGCAGCTAGGCTGGTTTGTGCTCATTCCCTCAGGGCATGTATCTGACAGCAGAAAGCAAAGGGGGGAAAAAATTAAAAACGCTTTTTTTTCCCTGGCTTTTCAGCTTCAAATGCCTAGAAACTAGGGAAGTAGAAAGAACTTGGGGCACAGAGAAACAATTTGGAAGGAAGTTGGAGCAAAGTTTTCATAGCGACCCTTCGTTCCTTTCCCTCTAGATTCGAAAAGGGATTGTTAGTTTTGTAACTCAGGTTCTGCTATGCTGGTAGAATGGGGGCTTAAAAATTAATAATGTTGAGCTGCAGAGAAATTTAAAAATATATATTCCTTCCACCCATCTATTTGTAGACTGAGATTCATACCAGCCCCATGTGTGAACACATCTGGCTTTCCCAAGAATCATTGTCAGCACATTGCTACTCTGTGGGCTGATTAAAACCCCCGAAAAGATGGGCCAATCCATTCCAAGGCAACTGCTTTGTCCCTGCTGGTGGGAAGAGATTAGGGGCACTCTGGGAAGTCATTGCTGATTTCAGAAATGCCACCGGTCTAATGAACCTGAGTTAGAAAGAGGACTATATAATGCTGTAAATTTTCCCGGTTCGGTGCAAGATAGTTGGCAGTGAGGGAAAAGAGGACAAATTCTACTTCGTTAGAAGTGCTGACTAAATTCTCTAAGTCTCAGGAGGCTACCTAAAGCGCTAGTGCTCTGACCATCCTGAGGCTTCCCTAATAATCTACTCCTGAAGACTTCCATTCATTCCACCAGACTTCCGTTATTCCACTGTGGGTGCTCCCAATACCGAAAGTCCTAATAAATGTCACGGCAGGACAGATTGGTAGTTAGGGATGAGAGCTGCTCCTGACATTTCCTACATACCTGGTTGGATTTTGAAAGAAGTACCTCAAAGATTACATAAAGAAAGAGAGTGAAAATAAATAAATGTATGTATGTTTACACATTCTCAACATACAATGTGCAAATTATACTTTAAAAGGGCTTTATAAACCAACTTGACTCTAAAAGCAAAATTGGAACAGAGTGGGAAGAGAAGAAAGTGCCAGTGTGGGGGCTCCTTCCTCCTTTGGAGGCCCCATCACTCTTACCACTTGCCACATTCCACTTAGAACTGCTAGTTCATTTTTCAAATACAGGCCTTATATGGTCCTTCAGAGCAAGGACTTACTCCTGGCCCTTGTCCTCGGGGTCTTGTTCAGACTGGTAGACTTTGGCTAGGTGATCCATAACTGTCTGTGGTTGATTAGGTGCCCTTTCCTATCTCTCAAAACTTTAAATCCAGCTGGGGATCTATCCTTGAGATATCTGACATCATGGGATATTTAGTAAGAAAGCTTAATCCCCATCCATAATTTTCTAAAAATTTAGGACAGGATGCATCTCCAACATTATCCAACATACTTTGATTGCTTTCAGCAGAGGTCTGACTGGTTCTTTGAATCTAGCCCTTGGCTTTACATCCAGGTGTAATATATTCTGAATAGTAACCCAGTAAATCAGATTCAAATCTTGTCCAAAATGTACTTCCCAGATTCCTACCAAAGGCAGAAGTTTGGTTAGAATTTTCTCAATGATTCTATATCCAGTTGGTGTGAGCAAAGACCCCCCAAATACTATTAAAGTCCTTAGTGATGTGAACCAGATGGAAAATAAAACAAAAGAATTCACAACTCATGTTAGACTGAATTGAATGTCTTTAATTTCACACAATGAATAACATATGAATAGGATTAACTTTTTTTTTTTAATAGTTAAGTGCTCTATACTGTGCTAACCTGATCTGGTAGCGAAAAAGACTGAGCTTTCTTTTAGAAAAAATGTTTAAAACCCAACATCTAAGACCATGGAGGAGCATGACAGTAAAGCATGCCAGATGTATCTACGCCTCAAATAACAGCAAGTCCGTGTTCATTTTAAATGTACAAAAATGCTTTATGAATAAAAACTGTTACAAAAAGAACATTTCAAACAATGTACAATTTTCTTGCCTCTATATTCAATAAAATACAAATACATTTTTTGTTCTAAAATATGTTTACATACAATCAAAGTAGAACATGCAAATTACACTTTAAAAAAGGCTTTTAAAAACCACTTATGAATACAAACTAAAAATTAGCCAGCACGACTTGTAAGACAATCTTGTGCCCCATTTTTTCTTTTGAAATATATATATACATATTTAACACATCATGTGCATTTATTATTATTTAAGAAATAGATTTTTTAAAAAAGGAAGAAAAAGAAAGACACCAACCTAGGTTGGAACTGCCCTTCTGTGTTGACCAGTGGCAGCTCTTTTCAATTTTCCCCCCCTTTAGTGTTTATTATACCTGGGGAAGTGGGCAATAGATATCCAGGAAGTTTCTTCCTTGGTTGATATGTGCTTCTAAGACTGTTCCCCAAATGACTGAGTCCCACTGGAAGGAAGACTCATTAGTGGGGCAAATTCTCCAAGAAACAAGAGGCAGAGGGAGCCTTGTATTGTGGAAAGAAACTTTAAAAAACACCAAGAAAATGCTACGGTATATTACAGTTCGAGTTTCTAGGCACTGTGATGACATTATCTGTAAGCTCTGGCATTTGGACCATTGTGATACTATAGGGTAGTGTTGAGAATAATGTCTATATTTATCTACTTTTACATAATGAGAAGGACTGAAAATCCTGCAATGTAACACTTAAATGGCTTTTGAGGCATTTCGGCTTCTGCCACCCCGTCTCTCTCCATGCTACAGTTGGCATTTAAAGGCTTTGGAAATATATGTATAGACTTTAGACAGTTCCCAGGTAAATCTTCCTAGTGGTAGGGAAAAAATATTCTCCAAAAACTCATTATCTGAATATTGTTGGGTAATAAGCTGTAGGAGTGGGATTTTCTACTAAAGTACTAAAACCAAATCCTTTATGACCTGCATGTAGTACATCACCTTATACTATAATTCTGTCACCACTTGCTTATCATATTTATAGAGCCAGCAATGTGCAGAACACAAATTCCAACTGCTATCCAACATGGCCTCCCACTCCGGACAGCAGCCAAGTTAACATGCTAATCCTCTGTCAGCCCTTAGTCACCTACTCTGGGCTGTCAGTGGCTGTTGAGTCCCGGTCCTGCCAAGTCACAAACCAGCTCCTGACATGTTCTCCTTTCTTTTGACCTGTCTTCCTTGGGATGTAGCCAGAGCTATGCTATAGAGGAAGTTAAACTTCTCTATCTTTCATATGAGATGAGGGCTCCTCCGCCACTTAGGAAGGTGGATCAGAGACCCATCAACACCTTCAAGGCGGCTTTTAGATCTCAATTTCATCCTTTGCTCACCTCTAATCAGATTCCCTATAAATGGGTTCATGCCTGCTTGCTGAAGAAAGTATTCCATAAAAACAAAAACAAAGACGCAAGAGATTTCTTTATGAAATAATTGGCAGAGGTGTTTATGGAGTCCCATGCATCCCAAATGACATCTTCTCTAAATAAAAATGCAGCCTCCAGAAGGCAGTGTTGGCTGGCTAGAGACTCCTCAGTCCAGGTCAGGATTGCTGGGTTCTCATCCTGGGTTCTGCAATGAGGTGAAACTAGACTAGCCCAGTGTTGAGCCAGGACAGGAGACGAGAGACTAATGGAAAGGGTCATTAGAAAATAAGGAAATGGTTGTACCAATGAGATGAGTTAAGTTAATGGAAAGTATAAGAGGAAAAAAAAAAAAAAAACGTAACGTAACACTGAAGAGGGAGCTGGGCAGGGGAGAGAGGAAGCTGTATGGTGTCAGGACTAGCTTCCACCTTCCAATGGCTATTTAGCATGTCTCAGTTTGGGACCTCGGTGGTTTTCTAATCTACTCTTAGGGTCATAAATGTAGGGGATTTGCATTGAACTCACATGACAACTATAGAACTAAATTTATGTATAAGTTACAACCCTGCTATATCCCTCCTGGAATACCTTACACTGGTTTGGAAATTCTAATGTATAAGTTATTTGACATTTCTCTCCAACTAGAAGTTAATGTCAATTAGAGTTTGGGTCCTTCCTTAAGAAGCTTAGAGAGTGCCAGCTCATTCTCTTCTGCAGGAAGACTGAGTCTACTCACAGACCTGGTTGGGGAAATGGTACAACACCAGAAGGAAGAAGGGCAAAAGAAAGGATGAAGGAAATGATTTTCAAAGTCCTGCAGGAGAGAAACCCCTTTATGGTTTAATTGGAATGAAAATGGTTGCTCTTTCATAGCCATAGTGGGGTGAATGGGGCTAATTTAAATCTTCCTCTCCGGTGACTTTGGAACCACTCAGACATGGCTTGGGAATGACAAATTGAAAGTGGCTGGTTTGATTTTGCTGTTCAACTTCTGTGAAATGCCAAAGGTCCACCTAGGTCACAAATGGAGTATCTATGATATAAGCTCTAAAGTACAGGAGAATGCATTCCTTTAAACTTACATATTGCTAGGATTAAATGTGACTGACCTAGTGGGTAGCAAATGATGTTAAGTCCAAGGTGACAGTGCAGAATAGGATGATTCTGGGTAATTTCAACCAACTGTTGATGCCATGACAGAACAGTGATGTTCGCAAGCATATTAACTTGGGATTTTTAAATTTACTCCCATAGATACTCCATCCCTTATTCTCCTGTGTTCCCAACAAAAATCCATCTCACTCTAAGGAAATAGTGTTGTGTTTTGAAGTGATAATACAATTTCCAGCCAGTCCCAACTTCCTGTAAAGAAACTTAATTTGGACGTAAACCAGATATTCTAATTCCCATTAGAAAATTGAATTCTGTCTCTCAGTGTCTCTCTTTTTATAATCTACCATGCCAGGTGTTTGATGTCTGGGGAAGGTAAGGGGAGGAGGAAGGGAGGAAATTGAAAATACTTATTTGAAATTTCCACATCTGACTTTTAGAAAACATCTACGGCAATGGAATAACTTCATATTCATTCTGAATCTTCTTAACATGTTTTACTTGAGCTGTGGAAATGGGTGATAGAGATGGAATATCTGTCCACGCTAAACCAATGGCTAGAGTACAACTTGGATGAGAAATGTACAGTTGAAATTGACCATTTAAAAGACGATTTGTCACACACAGTTTGCATCCATGCAGACTGATAGATTTATAATTACAGTATGTACAAAAATGTTTTAGTTTATTAAGGCAACCACAATTTGGATACTTTGTCCAAGGTGGCTTGATACAATTGGAGTGGTGATACCCTTTGAGCATTTTCTTTTCTTTTCTTTTCTTTTTTTTTTTTTTTTCAGATAAGAACACTTACTCCCATTCGCTTTTAAGAAATAATTATCAAGAGATAATGGACTTATTCTATTGTCTTTTTGTTTCTTTTTTTTTTTTTTTCCAACAACCTATGATAGCTACTTGTATGAAAATTCACATACCAAGGCATTGCCAGACATTTGTCTTTCTGGTGGGTCTGGGGTTTCAATTTTTGGTGATTTGTCAGTTATTCCATTTGCTGTGGGTTATTAAAACCATTTTATTCTGCTTATTCTCTGCTGATATGTTTTAAGTATAAAAATAACCTGGTTGACACCCCGGCCAACATATCCTTGGCTGCTCTAAATCACTTATTAAAAAGGCTCTATCAATACTGAGTATCTGTTTCACAATGATTGGGATTCGAAGCCAAGTTCCTTGGGACAGCATGCCAAGGGTGGACGTTACAACACACATAAAGTTTACATTATTTAGGCGTGTACCAAGGAAAAGAAGGCAGCGAGTCAGTTAATGAGAAGGTATATGGAGTACAATGGGCAAAGGAAAGGTAGGAACAGACTATGCTAAGTATCAGTGTATGATATAGCAGAGGCACACAGAAGGATATGAAAGCATGTCTAAGGTTGCCTATCACTAGAATTCCACCTTCTGATGACGAATCCATCTGAGAAACTGTATGGTTAACGGAAAGATTCAGGTCACCTGAAGATGATGTTGGTGCCCCAAAGCCTAGCCAAGCTTGGAAAAACCAAAATAAAAGCAAAAACCAATTAAATGGAAATGGGTTACAACAAAGCCAGTTGAGAAATTTGCAGCTTTTCTCCCCTTGGAATGTTTCCTAATTGAGGGTGCTTCCCTTTCAATTTTCCTGGCCAGCAAATGCAATGGAATCAAAGGCGCACCTTGGATGCAGGAGGCCAGGTGGGGCTGCCAGAGAGCACCACCACCGGCTTTCTCCTCCTCGATGGGTCTTCTGCTCGCCTGCAAAGGATCTAGCCATACTGAAGTGCCGCTTGGTTTGGAACTGCTGTAAAGCACACAGACCAGCTTCTTTTGAAGGCGTCCCCCTGCTTCGCTTTCCCAAGAGCTACTGATGGCTCCACCCCATCATCTGGCGCCATTCTGCCTGCCCAGCTTCTGGAGAGAAGGGCATCGGTGTCCCTGCATCGTGGGATTCCACCCCCACCCCTGCTCACTGCACTTCCAAGTGTCAGTTCCCCAGCCCCAGGTTCAGACGCCCAGACCCACACTAGGGAAGGCCATCGCTCTCACTCCCTCGGGATTTCCTCTGCCTTTTGGCCTTCACCTCCTCGTCCTGGGGCAGGGGCTGCTGTGGGGGTGGCTGCTGCGGGGGCTGGGCAGGAGGTTGAGGTTTGTGTTTCCTCTTCCCTCCTCCTCGGGGGGTCTTGGGCAAGGGCGGGGGCGGGGGTGGCGGAGGCGGGGGCGGCGGCGGGAGGGGTGGGGGCGGTGGCGGGGGCAGGGGCGGCGCCTCCCGGGCCATGTGGATGACCGCCTCGATGGTGGCCATGATGGTGTCTTGGGTGGCTGCTGGCTCCAAGACGAGCGGGCTCAGACTCGGCTTCTGCCCCCTCTTGCTGGGAAGGTCAATGCATTTTTCCAGCACCGGCATTTGGTCTCTGGAGTCCTCATCGAATTGCATGGGCTGCTTTCTGGGACGCCCTCTTCTCTTCTTGACGAAGTTGTTGCCTGTCTTTGATTGTCTCTGCAGCCGCTTGGCCTTCAGGATCTTGTTCACATGATCCAGGTTCTTCTTCGTGGACAGGATCTTCGTGTAGTTGCACATCTTGCGCACCTCGCACTGGATGGCCTCGATCTCCCGCCGCTTGAATCGCTTCTTCAGGGAGGAGCTGGCTGCGGGAGGGGAAGAGAGAAGATTGAGCACCAGAGGCAAGCTGCCCTACACCCAGCAAGAGCATTGACAGCTGGCATTCTACTTGACCAGGAAGATTCTGGAGAAGCAATGTTATGTATGTGACCCAGTATTTACTTCTTTATGAAAAGTGAAAATAATAAAAATAAACATGGGTTGGCTATCTTATGTGCACACAGCATTTCTGTTTATACTATTTCAATGTTTACAGCAATTCTGTGGAATGGTCTTGTTCCCATTTTTAGAATTTAGAAACTGAGGTTCACACCATGTAGGAAGATCTACCCTGGGAGTGAATGTCAGAATCAATGTTCCCGTTACCTTTTCCTATTATAACTTTTATTTTTTATTTAGCCCCTTGACCTTTGATCTGATTCAATTTAGGATTAGGTTCTGCTTTCTCTTTTTGTAGAAAAAGTTGAATGAAAAAAGTGACAGTCCTTTATAACAAGCAATCTGGATCATTCATATGTACTATCAACTTCAAAACAGAGATGCCTTGACCTCATGGGGACTATGTATGTAAGTGTGCCTATTTATTTTTAACCCTCCTCTACCGACACAAGGGAGGATTATTTTCTGAGACACCATCTCTCTAATTCCCTCCCTTCACCCTGCTCGGCCAATATCCTAGACTTGTCAAGTTGCCTGATCGTGTCCAATTGACAAGTCCTTCTTAACCAATTCATTCTCTGGAAACCTCAAGGGAAATCAGCCAGGTGTTTCTGAATCATTTACACTCCCACTACTTGGCTGTGCGTTGTTTGCAAAGAGCTCTTTTCAAGTCCTGGTAGCCAGATGGACCTGTATTGTATGAGTCAAACCTCTAGTCTCCAGAAGTCTTGTACTACTAGCACTAAATAGCCTTCAGAATTGCTTTGTTTTGAAGTTTGGACACTGTAAAGTGTGAATGGCTTTAAGACATAGCAGATCTTTCCTCCTTTAGGTCATTCTTTCTCCCTGTGCTGTTCATGAGCAGGCATGCATGTATGTCCATGTGTACACACACACACAAACACACACACACACACACACGCTCAGGCACTCTACTCTGCTGCCTCATCTTCATACTGGCTCCTCCCTTTTTATGAACATAAGTGTGTCCTCACTTAGTTTTTTGCTGCCGTGATACACCCTAAATGCTCAACCCCAAAGATGCCTGTGGAGAAGATGCTGACCCTACTAAACATTACAGGACTATGTATTACAGTTTATGTATTTACAGCATGATTTCTTGTGTTATCCAGTGTTTTCTCAACTAGTGGAGAAGTGGAATAGATATCCTAAGGAAATAAGGAGGGGGAGGCACCAGGGTGGCTCAGTTGGTTGAACATCTGACTCTTGATTTTGGCTCAGGTCATGATCGCAGAGTCATAGGATCGAGCTCTGCACTGGACTCTGTGCTAAGCATGAAGCCTGCTTACGATTCTTTCTCCTTCTCCCTTTTCCCCTCTTCCCTGCTCATGCATACTCTCTCTTTCTTTCTCTTTCTCTAAAAAATAATAATTAAGGGAAATAAGGGGAAAATGCTGAAAACATGAATACCACTTTCGCTTATTCTTGGGCACTCCCACTTTATTCCTTTCCCTGCTTTACCCCATTTTTCTCTCATGCTGTGGCTGACACTGAACTCCAGGAGGGTTATTATTTGAAGTTATTTACACCAGTAGCTTTATGGAGTGGGAAGCTCTGAGTTCCATAGGACAGGTCAAAATGTTGCTGCTTTTGGCCCAAGGTCATTGTAAGACTTACTGAGCAATGAATAACTACTGAACAATCTTTAAAATAAGTTATAAAGATCAAAATAGAACAAAGCCAAAGTGAGCTTCTGAGTACAAAAATAAAATGTTTGTAGTTAGTGTCGTGAAAGAAAAGCGTTCCTCGATTTTGAGTTCTTAGATGCAGGGATCAATTTCTGTCCATCTTTATGTCCCTTACAGAGCATAGCATGGTGCCTTGTCCATGGACAGGATTTAAAAATTGTTTTTGGACTGATGAATCACACTAATCATTGCTGCCTTATAGTCACAGCCTTCTCTAAAAGAGTTCTAGTTTGGATTTCTAAAGCATCCACTCTAAAATCGGGCAGTAAGAGCTAGCAGGCATCCATGTCCAAGCCAGTTGATCTATCTTGTCCACATAGTTTATGAGTAAATGAGAAGAAGGCAGAAATACTACACAAAACCTTTGGCATTATTCCAAATACAATTTTCATGTGAAGTTTACCCTTTCTTTATATCATCTTTGGGGGAAGAAAATGCTGTGTAGTATATAACACAGCATATAGGTAGAAAGTAAAACACTTAGGAAATTAGTTGGCAGTATTTGAGTAAAGATTGACTGGAAAACTCCATGAACTGCAGGTCATTTGGAAGAAATTACAAGCATTAGTTTGTTTCTCTCAGTGTTTTCTTTTTAGCATAAAGTGCCAAAAAAACCAAACAATAAAACAAAAAAGAAACCTAGTAGATAATACCATACTCAATAGTTTGTTGTATGCTGCATAATATTTTATTAAGCCCTTGCACTGTGCTCGCTTCGGCAGCACATATACTATTAAGCCCTTGCACTGAAAAATGATTATGAAATAAGTTAATTCTGAGTCGTGTAAACATACCTTTACTAAAAATATCATAACCAATTCCTTTGCACCCACTGTTCACATTTGATAAATGTTAACTTTTGCCATATATACATTATTTTTTTAATGTTTATTTATTTTTGAGACAGAGGAAGACAGAGTGCGAGCAGGGAGAGGCAGAGAGAGGGAGTCACAGAATCTGAAGCAGGCTCCAGGCTCTGAGCTGTCAGCACAGAGCCCAACGGGGGGCTTGAACTCACAAACCGTTAGATCATGACCTGAGCCAAAGTTGGACATTTAACTGACTGAGCCAGCCAGGTGCCCCTATACATTATTTAAAAAAATTTTTAACAGGTTATTTATTTTTGAGAGACAGAGAGACAGAGCACAACCCAGGGAGGGGCAGAGAGAGGGGGGGAGACACAGACTTAGAAGCAGGCTCCAGGCTCTGAGCTGTCAACACAGACCCGTGCAGGACCCAAACTCATGAACTGTGAGATCATGACCTAAGCCGAAGTCAGACACTGAGCCACCCAGGTGCCCCTATACATTATTTTTTTTTAAGAAAGAAAATATTATAGATTCAGCTAAGTCAGGCCCCCTCTCAATTCCATTCCAGTCCCTTCCCTTTCCATACTTGAATTTATATTTTTACTGTATATGCATGAACCCATGTTAGTAAAAATTACAGGACTGAAACTACCTAATGTTGGTGGTACTGTAAGGAAGTGGGGACCCTTGTACACTGTTGGTGGGAGTATAAACTCAACTAATCATATTGGCGAGCAGCTGGGCACTGACCACTAATACTGAAGATGGGCATGCTCAAATGCCCCAGAGAATCTGTGTTCAGGCTGCCTCCTTTACTTATCTGTAGCAGGAGGCCAAGGATGTGCAAGGATGTTTCCTGAAGCTCAGAAGACTGAAAACAGTCTAAATGTTAAAAGGATAATCAGTCCATTGTGATACTTTCAAACAATAGAATATTATAGATCTGTTGAAAGGAATAAGCTACATATATCAACATGGTTAAATCTAAAAAAACAAGTTGAATAACAGAAGTGAATACAAGTACTTGTAAATATATCATGTGAAAAAAGTTTAAAAACACACAGATCCCTTGAATTTTTATTTCATTTTCAGTGTGCAGATGTGGAGGTTTAAAGTGACAACAATGCAGAAGCTCAATTGTAAGCTAACGATTGGGCGGATGAGATTTCACTCTCCAAAGCTACCTCATGGCACTTTAGTAAGCTTCCAGAGGAGTGCTGTCCAGCACAGTTTTCTGCTATGCTGGAAATGTTCTATATCTGTGCTGTCCCATTTGGTTGTCCTTAGCCACATGTGGCTACTAAGCACTGAAATGTGGCTAGTGTGATTGAGAGACTACAATTTTAATTTGACTTCAATTTAGATAGCTCCATGTGGCTGGTGGCTTCTGTAGTGGGCAGCTCAGCTCTAGTCCTAACCACCATGAAATACAGGGGGGGATACTGGTTCATTCAGCAAAACACAGACTGTGGGAAACTCTGAGCAAAGCACCTGGTGCCTTTGACAAATACGATGCAAGGAGAGAAAGGCAGGGGAGGGAGTGGGACTGTAAATTAAGAGACTTAACAGATAAAATGACCATATTTTGCTGCCAGTTTAAACAAACTGTCAAAAGAGATCTTATTTCATGAATTCATGGAAATTTGAATAGTGTCTGGGCATTGCATGAATATTACTTAATTTCTGTTTATTTTCTTAGGTGTGATAACTGCATTATGACAATTTTTTAAAGTACCAAGCTTTTAGAAATATTTGCTATTTTTTTTTTTAAGTAGGCTTCACACCCAGCATGCAACTCACCACAGGGCTTGAACTCACTACCCTGAGATCAAGACTTCAGCTGAGATCAAGAGTAGGATGTCCAACCAACTGAGCCACCCCAGGACCCCTAAAATATTTATAGATGATATTATCACATGATATCATCTGGAATTGGCTTCAAAATAATGAGTAAGGGAGGAGGTAAGTAGAAGTACTGATGAAATAAGATTGACTCTGAGTTAATATTGTTGAAGCTGAGTGATGTGTACACAGCAGTTTATTATGCTATTCTGCCCACTTTGGCATATAGTTGATAATACCATAATACCTGGTTAAAAACATATACATGGCAAGTGGTAATAAAACGTCTTTCTTTGAATCTTAGGAATATAGGGTGCTCTGGTTTTTCACCCTTTTGGGCTCTGTCACCAAAATAATTTTTGAAAGATAACAAATGTCCTCAGCAAAAGCCATGTATCATATCCCTAGAAAATTCCTGCTGCTAGCTACCCTCCTGGCTTAATGGGCTGGGAGAATGAATAAGTGCTCTGGCTTTTATGCTGTGACCAACCTAATAAACATATCAGG